AAGCACCATAATAAGGTAAATTATGGGAAATAAGATCTGGTTCAGGATGCCCCATAGGACAACCCAAGCACTGGGGCCCCTCCAACCTACAAAAAGGACACCCCGACTTTGGCTCTTTGTGGCCCGCTGCCCCTCAGGAGCTCCGGGTGCTGAGACCCCAGCTTCCTCCATGGGGAAATAAAGGAGAGCAGCTCAAACCGCCACGGAATGGGGCAGCAACAAGGCAATAAAACCACATGCAGGTGATTAGTAATTACAGGCACGAAAAACTGACCTTAGATCAAGGCTTTTTTGCTTTCCCCCCCTCCAAATAAATGGATATTTTCTGATTCTTTGCTTTGCTCCTGGCCCCCCTGGCATAAAAAGACACCATTTCACGCCTGATGTCTGATGCGGCGTTGGCTTTTTCTTCCCATAATAAACACCCACGGAAAGCCGTGACCTAAAGGCACCTTCACACAGCGGATCACAGCCAACAAAGAGCGCACACAAACCGATGAGTTTGGATCCCAACATCTTTTCCCCTTCCAATGACCTCAAATTGTGGTTGTAGTCAGCAAAGCCGCCACCAAAGTCAGGATGAGACCCAATGTGGCTTTGGGGACATCCAGGGGGGGAACCTCAGGAGCAGAAAGGAGCTGGGGTTTGTGCCAGAGCCCCTTTAGCTAAAGGCCTTTTTTTTGCTCTGCCAATGGTTTGGGGCTGGAAATGGGGCACGGAGCCTGAAAGGATGCGGGTGATGGGATGCATTGGGGCTGGAAATGGGGCATGGAGCCCGAAAGGATGCGGGTGATGGGATGCATTGGGGCTGGAAATGGGGCACGGAGCCCGAAAGGATGCGGGTGATGGGATGCATTGGGGCTGGAAATGGGGCACAGAGCCCGAAAGGATGCGGGTGATGGGATGCATTGGGGCTGGAAATGGGGCACGGAGCCCAAAAGGATGCGGGTGATGGGATGCATTGGGGCTGGAAATGGGGCACGGAGCCCGAAAGGATGCGGGTGATGGGATGCATTGGGGCTGGAAATGGGGCATGGAGCCCAAAAGGATGCGGGTGATGGGATGCATTGGGGCTGGAAATGGGGCACGGAGCCCGAAAGGATGCAGGTGATGGGATGCTGGTGGGTGCTGGGAGAGAGACCACAGGAAAGCTGTTGGAAAAGATGGCGCAGGGCAGGCAGGGGGTTGGGATTCCGTGGGGTTTTGTGTCCCTGCTCATGCACACACACCAACATGCAGGCAGGCGTTGCTGATCCTGTTGACCTCCCTTCTTCCACTCTGCTTTGCTCAGATGGGTCTGGGGGGGTTTTGGGGAGCAAAGCGGGGCCTCTCCTTACCAAGGGGGTCTTGGGGAGATCCCAACCCCGTAGGGTCTGCAAGCCCTGTGCTGAAAACCATCTTACAAGCAAAGAAAATAATGCACACCTGTGGCTTTGCAAACTGGGGGATGGGATCGCAGGCAATGGGAGCCATGGGGCGGCTCTGGAATCTGCACATCCTGCAGAATTCAAGCAGGCCGAGGGCAGGAAGGGCAGCAGCCCCGTTTTTTGGGGGGGGGGGGATTCAAAATCTGTTCTTTCTGTGCCACGCTATGGGTTGGTTAAGGGGTAAAGAGGCAGGAAGGACCTCGCTCAGCTGGCAGATCCCCGGCGTCAAAAACCGGCCTTTGATTCCTGGACTGAGCAGGCTGGATCTGGAAATCATTGAGAAAGAAGAAATTAAAGGTATATATGTAATTTAGAGCTCCTTTCTTTCTGTCCTTCTTTTTTCCTCTTCCCTCTCTTTGGCTTTGCAAATTACAACCACAATTTAAAGTCTTTGCCTCGGGGCCGTTACGCCTTCGCCGTTTCTCCTTTTACCTTTTTCACCTCTTCCCAACTCATCCCGCAGGTTTTCTGAAAGGAAGAGGGGGAGAAGAGAATGGAAACACCGAGAAAATGGGGAAAAATAACCCCAAAGCATCAAGATATTGTTTGCTATTGAAGGATTTGCTCAAACCTTCCCTATCGTGCCCGGCTTTGTTCTCCCCATCACTCAATGAGCTCTCAGCACAAACCCCTGCTCCAAAGGTGCCGTTTGTATTTGTTTTCCCCTCTTTCCTCTCCTCTTTTCCTTCCTCTCTTCCCTTTTTCCTTCCCCCCTTATCCTTCCTTCGCTCTCCTTCTCCTTCCCTTCCTTTCTTCCTCTCCCCCTCTCCTTCCTCTCTTTACTTTTTCCTCCCTCCCCCTTTTCCTTCCCTTTCTTTCTTCCTCCCTTCCTTTTCCTTCCCCCCTTCTCCTTCTCCTCACTCCTCCTTCCTCTCTTCTCTTTTTCCTTCCTCCCTTTTCCTTCCTCCACTCCTTTCTCCTTCCCTTCCTTTCTTATTCTCCCCTTTTCCTTCCCCCTTCCCCTTTCTCCTTCCTCCATTCCCTTCTCTTCCCCTTCCCCTTTTTCCTACTCTCTTTTCCTTTCTCCCTTCCCCTTTTTTTCTCTCCCCTTTTCCTTCCCCCCTCCCCATTTTTCCTTCCTCTTTTCCTTCCTCCACTCCTTTCTCCTTCCCTTCCTTTCTTCCTCCCCTCCCCTTTTTCTCTCCTCTTCTCCTTCCCCTCTTCCCCTTTTCTTTCCTCCCTTCTCCTTCTTCTCCTCCCATTTTCCTCCCCCCTTTCCTTTCCTTTCCCCTTTCCTTTCCCTTCCTCCTTTCCTTTCCCCTTTCCTTTCCCCTTTCCCCTTTCCTTTCCCCTTTCTCCTTTCCTTTCCCCTTTCCCCTTTCCCCTTTCCTTTCCTCTCTCCTCTTTCTCCTTTCCTTTCCTTTCCCCTTTCCTTTCCCCTTCCCTTTCCCCTTTCTCCTTTCCTTTCCTCTTTCCCCTTTCCTTTCCCCTTCCTCCTTTCCTTTCCCCTTTCCTTTCCCCTCCCCTTTCCCCTTTCCTTTCCTCTCACCTCTTTCTCCTTTCCTCTCCTTCCTCCTTTCCTTTCCCTTTTCCTTTCCCCTCCCCTTTTCCCTTTCCTTTCCTTCCCCCTCCCCTCCCCCTTCTCTCCATCCCCCCCTCCCCCATTCCCTTCCCACATTCCCGATCCTCTCACACCATCTCGTGGCCGTTTCACACCGTTGCGATGGAGCAGCCTTGAAACGCCTCCCCGGACCGCCGCAAACCTTCGCATCTCCTCCTCCCCCCCCCATTTCCTCCCTCCTCGGCCCCGTTTTCCCCGTTCTCTCCCATCTCCCAAACGAGGACGGATCTTCCCCCCCCCCCCCCCCTTGGGCGCTGCCCACCTTTGAACCTCTTGAGGACTTTCTCCAGGACCACCGTTTTGAGGCAGAAATTGCAGACGTGCACCTTCATGTCGGTGCAGACGGGCACGGGCTTCTGGCACTTCACCTCGTCGCTCCTGCGGGGGGGAAAAGGGGCGAAAAGCAGGGAGGGAAATCACTGCGTTTCCTCTGCTTTTATCCTTATTTTTGCATCCCTGTTCTCTGTTGTGCCCCCAGCAGTGCCAGGACCGCAGCAAATTTAGCTGCCAGAGCAGAGGGTGATTCCCACCCTGCAGAAAGTAATGGTGCGTTCAGCTCCTCTCCCACCACAGACCCCAAATCTGAAAGCGATGGGGCAACCTGAGGGGGGGGGGAAAAGCCCTGTTTTCCCCCAAAAAGGACGGCGTGCTCCACACAGGCACCCGGTCTGCAAAAACTGACCCTTCAGTGAAGACGTTTTGGGGAAAAGAAACTTGAAAGAAAAGGAGGAGCGGCGCTCCGTACCTGCTGATGATGCTCATCACATCCTGCAAAGGGAGAAAAGAGGCCGTCAGATGTTCGTGCAGCCTGCAATGCGCCTCAGTGGGGACCCCCACCCCATCAGCACTGCTTTTGGGGGGCGTCCATCCCGCTACTTTTGGCCACATTCACGGTGTGGTTTGGGTTGGAAGGGGCTTTTGGTGGCCTCCAAGCAACCCATCATTTTTGGAGGTCCCCAACCAACCCATTCCTTTGAGGTCTCCCATCCAACCCATTTCTTTGGGGTCTCCCATCCAACCCACTTTTGGATGCCTCCCATCCAACCCATTCCTCTGGGGTCTCCCTTTCAACCCATTCCTTTGGGGTCTCCCATCCAATCCATTCCTTTGGGGTCTCCCATCCAACCCATTCCTCTGGGGTCTCCCTTTCAACCCATTCCTTTGGGGTCTCCCATCCAATCCATTCCTTTGGGGTCTCCCATCCAACCCATTCCTTTGGGGTCTCCCATCCAACCCATTCCTTTGGGGTTTCCCATCCAACCCATTTCTTTGGGGTCTCCCATCCAAGCCACTTTTGGATGCCTCCCATCCAACCCATTCCTCTGGGGTCTCCCTTTCAACCCATTCCTTTGGGGTCTCCCATCCAATCCATTCCTTTGGGGTCTCCCTTTCAACCCATTCCTTTGGGGTCTCCCATCCAACCCACTCTTGGATGCCTCCCATCCAATCCATTCCTTTGGGGTCTCCCATCCAACCCATTCTTGGATGCCTCCCATCCAACCCATTCCTTTGGGGTCTCCCATCCAACCCACTCTTGGATGCCTCCCATCCAACCCATTCCTTTGGGGTCTCCCATCCAACCCATTCTTGGATGCCTCCCATCCAACCCATTCCTTTGGGGTCTCCCATCCAACCCACTCTTGGATGCCTCCCATCCAACCCATTCCTTTGGGGTCTCCCATCCAACCCATTCTTGGATGCCTCCCATCCAACCCATTCCTTTGGGGTCTCCCATCCAATCCATTCCTTTGGGGTCTCCCATCCAACAAATTCCTTCGGGGTCTCCCGAATGGAGACCCCAAATGCAGAAGGACATCAGCCTGAGAGCTGAAGCCACACCGTTTTCCACATCTTGCCCCCTAAACGCTGGCATGAAAGCTGCACATTTGGGTTCCTGTGATACCTGGGCTCCCAAGGGAAGGGTTCACCCAAGGATTCGTTGCGTTACGGGGGCAGATATTTCCACGGTGGAAATTATTCGCCCTCAAAAAGGGTGAGCAATTAATTATGGAGGAAATTTACAGGTTAAAGTACCCTCGCTAATGAGGAAACTCGTGGAGGTGAAGTCTCCACTCAGCTCCATCTGTTGCCCTTTAAAATGAGGGGAAAGAGGGGCAAAAACTGCGAATTAGGATGAGTTCAAAGCCAAGCAAAACCCAAAAATACCCTCCAGGGAATGGGAAGGGGGCTGGGTGAGGATTAAAGAAAGCAATTAAGCTAATCACCACTCATTACACCATCACTTTTGTGCCTGTCGGTGGGAGCTGAGCAAAGACCTCACGGAATCACCCTGCAGAGGCCTGGGTAAAGATTTGCTCTGCAAATATTTACAGTGCTCTCAATAGGGGGGGTCAGAAGAGCAGGGCCTGAAATTCAGGTTTGGGCTCAAAGAGGAAGAAATGAAGAGCTGTGCGTGCAGCACTTTGCTCCCATCGCAGCCGTGACCGACCTTAAGGTCACCCTTTGGCTTTTTTGCCTTCCAGAACGGCGTTGGGTTCTGCCTGGTTTTGGGGTGGGATGTTGGGGTTTGTGCTCCCAACCCCGCTGCTGTTGCAGAGGAGGGTTTGGGCAGCGCTGGAGTGACTCCAGCTCCGTTCTTTGCCACGCAATCAATACCCAAACTCCATCTGCTCCTCCCCTCGTGCTTTCCAGCTTGGTAAAATCTCATTCTGACTTGAAAACCCAGCTCTGCTTCCAGCTCCCAGCAGAGGCTCTGCTGCAATCGCTGGCGTGGGGCCGCGTCCTGCTGGGCTCCGCGTGCCTCCATGCCCAGCTCTCGCCATCCCTGCTCTGCCAGAGGAGTGGATTCCTCATTAGAAGTGAAAGTAATGGCAGGAGTAAGAACAAAAAGAGAGTTTTCTCCCAAGGATGTCGACAGGAAGACGTGAAGAAAAAGGAGATGGAAGCGTCAAGATGCAAAGCTGAAGGCGAATTTCTTTGCTAACCACGATTCGGGGGTCCAAAGGTTCCCTGGTCCGAAGGTTCCACCACTCTTCGGTTCTTTGATTCGAAGATTTTATGATCCACTGATCCAGTGGTTCTACAGACCAATGGTTCTATGACCCAGTGGTCCAACAGCTCTACAAATCAATGGTTCTACGATCCAGTGATCCACTAGATCTACAAATGAATGGTTTTATGATCCAGTGATCCAAAAATTCCACCATCCAATGGTTCTGTGGTTCAGTGATCCACTAAATCTACAAGTCAATGGTTCTACGATCCAATGATCCAATTGGATCCAGTGATCCAGTGTTTCTACAAACCAATGGTTCAATGGTTCAGTGATCCACTAAATCTACAAATCAATGGTTCTATGATCCAACAACCCAACATTCTACAAACCAATGACTCTGTGATCCAATGGCTCTACAAACCAATGGTTCTGTGGTTCAGTGATCCACTAAATCTACAAATCAATGGTTCTATGATCCAATGACCCAACATTCTACAAACCAATGACTCTATGATCCAATGGCTCTACAAACCAATGGTTCTATGGTTCAGTGATCCACTAAATCTACAAACCAATGGTTCTATGGTTCAGTGATCCACTAAATCTACAAATCAATGGTTCTATGGTTCAGTGATCCACTAAATCTACAAATCAATGGTTCTACGATCCAATGACCCAACATTCTACAAACCAATGACTCTATGATCCAATGGCTCTACAAACCAATGGTTCTGTGGTTCAGTGATCCACTAAATCTACAAATCAATGGTTCTATGATCCAATGACCCAACATTCTACAAACCAATGACTCTATGATCCAATGGCTCTACAAACCAATGGTTCTATGGTTCAGTCATCCACTAAATCTACAAATCAATGGTTCTATGGTTCAGTGATCCACTAAATCTACAAATCAATGGTTCTATGGTTCAGTGATCCACTAAAGCTACAAATCAATGGTTCTACCACCCAATTATTCCACACTTCTACAGATCAACGGTTCCATCATCCAACGACCCAACAATTCTACGATCCAACCATCCAAAGACTCGCTGATCCCACGGCCCTGCGATCACAGACCCAACCGCCTCACCTTGAGGAACTCCAGCACGGGCTGCTGGATTTTCTCCTCCAGCTCCGTGATGAGTTTGTTGAGCAGCGTGATCTCCTTGGAGAGGTCGGTGATGTTCTCGTTCTGCCTCTTGGCGATGCTCTTCTCCATCTTGTCCAGCTGCCCCAGCAGGATGTGCTCCTGGTCGTGCAGGAACTGCCGGAGCCCCTCAAACTCCACGAGGAGTTTCTGACGCTCGGTCTCGATGGTTTTCTGGGAGGGAAACACACCAAAAAAAAGCTGGGTTGGCTTCTTTTCCTGATGTGATGCGTTGCTGCGGGCCTGATGTCGGTGCAGAGTCAACCAGCATTCGGGGGATGCATCCTCTGCAAGCACAGAGGAGGTTGCACGCATCGTGGTTGCGTTGCTCTACGCTGGCCATCGGCACAGCCCCAGCAAGCGGCGTGAAACCATCGTGGTGTGAAAGCACAGCCCTTGGCTGGTGTTATTTCCAGCCTTTCCAGCTGGAAGAGCAGCAGGAAGGGCTGAAAGCACAGTTTTGTGAGAGTGGTAGAATAGAAGCACGGGCTGGGGGCGGCCCGGTGGTGTTTGTCCCTTCCAACAAGGGACATCCCAACCCAGACCCACCGCCATGGAGCATCGCGCTGCGCTCACCAGAAGCTCCTGGGTTTTCTTATCGTCGTTCACTTTGAATTCCAGCAGTTCCTGCCTCTCCTTTTTCAGGAAATCCAAGCGGCCCTGGATTTTTTCCTGGGAAACCAAGAAAAGGATCAATGATCACTGATGATGTTTTCCCTTTCTCCTTCCCTTCCTGTTTTATTCCGTTGCCGTTTCGCTCCACGTGGGCGCAGTTTGTCCTTCCAGCCCCACAAGGACAAGCAGCATCTCAAGCATCCCTTCTCACTGGATGGATTTGCTGCCTCAGCTCTGCCCATGCACACCCACACTTTGCAACCGACAGCAAACACAAAGAAACCTCCGAAGGGAGACGCGGGAGACCATGGCAGGGAATGCAAACTGCTTTCACCAGCTGCCGCCGCCTTGCTAACCTTTTCTCCTGACACAAGCTGAGCCTTGGCTGCAGGCAGTGCCCTAGAATAGCCGAGGGTGTCACCTTATGGGCACCCATTGGGTGCAGAGGGCAATTAATCTGTTTTGCAGCCTCTCGGCTACTCTGGATCTCCATCCTTTCTGCGGGGAAGGGTGGACCTGCAGCCCTTCTGCTGAGCTCAGGGTCCCCATGGAGCTCATGGTCCTGCAGCCCTCCTGTACAGCTCAGGGTCCCCATGGTCCTCCAGCCCTCCTGTAAACTCAGGGTCCCCATGGAGCTCACGGTCCTCCAGCCCTCCTGTACAGCTTAGGGTACCTATGGAGTTCATGGAGCTCCAGCCCTCCTGTACAGCTCAGGGTCCCCATGGAGCTCACGAGTCCCCAGCCCTCCTGTAAATTCAGGGTCCCCATAAAGTTCATGGTCCTCCAGCCCTTCTGCTGAACTCAGGGTCCCCATGGAGCTCACGGGCCTCCAGCCCTCCTGTAAACTCAGGGTCCCCATGGAGCTCACGGTCCTGCAGCCCTCCTGTACAGCTTAGGGTCCCCATGGAGCTCATGGAGCTCCAGCCCTCCTGTAAACTCAGGGTCCCCATGGAGCTCATGGTCCTGCAGCCCTTCTGCAAACTCAGAGTCCCCATGGAGCTCACGAGCCCCCAGCCCTTCTGTACAGCTCAGGGTCCCCATAAAGCTCATGGTCCTGCAGCCCTCCTGTACAGCTTAGGGTCCCCATAAAGCTCATGGTCCTGCAGCCCTTCTGCTGAGCTCAGGGTCCCCATGGAGCTCACGGGCCTCCAGCCCTCCTGTAAACTCAGGGTCCCCATGGAGCTCATGGGCCTCCAGCCTCTTCCTCTTGAGGAAGAGGAGGAAAACTAGAGAAGAAGCAGCAACCAAAACCTCTGCAAGAATCAGCGCTTCCCATTGCAAAAAAAAAATCAGCACTTCCCAACTCCAAACCCAGCGACACCACGGGGAGACGAGAGGAGAAGAGCGGACGCTGAAACGGAGGGGGGAAAGACACACGGACAGCAGACAGGCCGCGCTCGGGGTTGGACAGACAGACAGACAGACACCTTGTACTCCTCGGACGCCTCATCCACGGGGACCACAGCGTGAGGCCGGTGCTCGCGGGAGCGGTCGCACACCACGCAGATGCTCCTCCTGTCATCCTTGCAGTAGAGCTTGAGGGCTTCGCGGTGCTTCACGCAGAGCCCGTCCTCCTCCGCTCCCTTCGCCCCGCGCAAGGCGAACTGGCTGATGATTTCGGACATGTTGGCCAGCTGGCGGTTGGGTCGGAGGCTCTTCTGCTGGAAGATCTCCCTGCACTGAGGGCAGGGGAAGTCCATCTCCAAGTCCTTCCAGCTCTTGACGATGCACGCCCGGCAGAAGTTGTGCCCGCACTCGATGGACACGGGATCCTTGAAGAACTCCAAGCACACGGAACAAGTGGCCTCGTCCTGCAGGTTTCCAGGCAGGAAGACGGCAGCCATGGCCTCTCTCCTGCGGGCAAGGACTGATTTCACCGGGGCTGGAGGCAGAGCGTGAATGCTTGGCACGCGGCCCCATGGGCGTTCCCGTTCCAGGAACGATCCCACTGCAGTGTCCGGTTTCCTTAAACTGGTAACGAAGGCCTCAGCTTTAGGGCACAGAGCGCGGCTGGAGGAGAAAGGGAGCGAGGAGACGTCCCTGCTCTTTGCTCCTCCGAAAGCAGCTCGGGTCTCAGCTCCCCACCTGCATCAATGGCTGCTGTTATTAAGGGAACCGTTGGGGGAGCGGGGAATGAACGGCAGAGCTGCAAAACTCAAAGCAGCTCGCATGGAGCAGCTGCTCCGGGAGCTCCTGATAAAAACCCCGGTGCTTAAAATGGCTTTGGTGGAGCTCCAGGGCTGTAAAAAGCAACGGGAGAAAGGGGAAACGCGTGGCATGAAGCGACACGGAGACGGGGCCGAGCGTTTCCCAAAGCCATAAATATCAGGCTCTAAACGAGGGGGGCCTCGCAAAACAAGAAACCCCACGTTTTTGTTCCCAAATCTGCCTTCCAAGCAGGGATGTTCAACACAGGAGGAACTCCTGGGTTGCTGGATGGGGTCGGTGCTGCGGTTTTCTCCCGTTGCAGAGCAGGGAAGTAAAAGTCGTGTGTAACACGAGCCCAAATAACGAGCTGGGTGCTATCAACAGAGAAGAGCAGGCGCTTCTGGGGGGTGATTCATCGCCTCCTAATGAGGGAATGAAAACGGCATCGGGTGACAGATGCAGATCAGGGGCACCCATCTGCATCTGTTGCTGCTCCGCGTCGGTTTGAACCCAGCCCTGGGGTTTTTTTTTTTGGGGGGGGGGGTTGTGGCATGGGATCCCTTCCTCCTCTACATCCCCATCCTACTTCGAGCCCGGGAATAACGCAGAACGATCGGCTCGGGGGTGCGTTGCGCACACGCGCACCCACAGGCGCCCTATGGATGCGGCGTGCGCCCCGTCGTGCCGTCAGCCCCCGAGGGGAAGCGATTCCAACCCCTCTGCGCGCGCATCGACCCGCGCGCTCCCTCCCCCCCCCCCCTTGCGCGCCGCTCCGTCCTCGTGCACGCGCAGCCTGGGAATCGCTCTCCAGGTCGAGCCGCAAGCAGGCAGGAGTCGTTTATTTCGCTTTGGAGTCTATAGGAGGAGGCGAGGGGCTGAGAGCTGCCGGAGTCGGGGATTGTGGATGGGGGAATATCGGAGAGAGAAAAGGAGGGGTGGGACGGACGGACGGACGGACGGACAGACGGACGCATCCCGCCACCCGCATCTCAACGTACCTCGGAGCGGAGCTGTAGGAGAGGGGTGTCCTCCTGTAGCTCTGCATGGAGGACGGCGCTGCGGGGGTCCCGGCACCCCCACCTGCAGCGGGGCGAAGCGCGGGCCAGGGGCGGCCGCTCCGCTTTGCTGCGGCGAAAGGATCCAGCTCAAATCCCGAGAGCCACCAGCACCGCTCAGCTCCGGCCCCATTTGTGTCCCCCCCAACCCCTTTCCCTCCCCAACCCCCCCCCCCAGCCCCATCTCACTTACCAGCCCTTCCCCTCCCCCATTGCAGCTATCCCAGGCACCCGCCGCTCTCCTTCTCTGCTCTCCTCCTCTGTGCCAAAGAGTTTTTCCCAGCCCCGGAGCCAGGATCCTGTTTCCAGCACCTCCCTCCACCTGTCTCCCAACCCAAGTCCTTTCCAAAGGGGCTCTGCGTCCTTTAACCCCCCTCCCACGTCCCAAAATCCGAGGGATCCAGAAGGACCGAGGCTTCCCATCCCCTCCTCCACCACGGATCTCAATGGTCGCAGCAGCGCTTTTGGGGCAGCACCGTGCCAGCATCACCTTTAGGACACCTCTCACCCTCCACGGTCGTCCCTTTGGGGATCAGGAGGGCTTTGGGCATCCCAAACAGCACATATGGAAAACTGGACCCCTATCACATCTTTTTCTTGCAGGATTTTTCAGCACCCATCCATCCTGGTGCTGAGCATCCAGGTTTCCTCCTGCTTTGGGTGGTTCTGAGCGCATCCAAGCCCCTGTGCTTGCATTTCCCTTTAGGAAACGAGTGAGCAATCACTGCCCTGCACTGGATTTTCTCCTTCTAACCCCAAAACCTGACCCAGAACCTCCAACCACACGACTCCCACGTTTCATCCTTATTCCTCCCCGCATTATAATGGCTTGGGTTCTTCTTTTTGCCCTTTGAGAACCCAGAATATCCCACCCCACCCCCTTTAGGTCCCACCTGAAGTCAGGTTTGGTGCCTCCCGGGGACCATTTACCCCTTTGCATTTGGTGGATGAGCCAGCTCTTGAAAAATAGGGGAATTTGGGGTCTGTTTGGGTGAAATAAAAACCTGAGCCTTGTAGATACGTCTCGCTTTTGTTCCTCTTAGCATCCAATTCTCAACCCTTGGTTAAGAAGGCTGCAAAAATCCCAGCCCTGGAGACTGGGATGCAAGCAGGGAAAGCACCTTGGGCCGCCCTTGGGGTTTTAGTTTGGGATTAAGCTTGGGGTCACTGAGAATGCTGAGCCTGAAGGGCTGTTCATAGGGACGCCTGGGGAAGGAAAGCGCATGGATGAGCCAAAATTTCACAGGGCCTGCGATTGACAGCTGGTTTATTGCAAGAGCTGGAATAAGAATCAGGCCAGGCGCACAGGGGAGCCCTGCAGGCAGGTTGGGTCCAAACACCCTGATTTAGGGCAAAAAGGTTGAAGTTGGGTTCGGGACTCGCAGCATGGAAGGGGTTGGGGCATCTTGGGGGACCCCATTGGGTATGGAAGGGCTTGGGGCACCTTGGGGGACCCCATTGGGTATGGGAAGGGTTGGGGCACCTTGGGGGACCCCATTGGGTGTGGAAAGGGCTGGGGCACCTTGGGGGACCCCATTGGGTGTGGAAAGGGCTGGGGCACCTTGGGGGACCCCATTGGGTGTGGAAAGGGCTGGGGCACCTTGGGGGACCCCTTTGGGTATGGAAAGGGCTGGGGCACCCTCGGGGACCCCATTGGGTGTGGAAAGGGCTGGGGCACCTTGGGGGACCCCTTTGGGTGTGGAAGGGGCTGGGGCACCTTGGGGGACCCCATAGGGACCCCACTGGGATTAATCCGTGGGATCCTCATCCCACTCCTCGTTGCACAGGTCGGTCTCACAGCAGGAATATCGGGACGTCAGGCGGGATTCTGCATCTGACGCCCTCTCCCTGCCACAGTTCAGGGCAGAGGTGCAGCCCTGTTGGTAATACAGGGTCACCTTCCCTGTAGGAGAAAGGGAAAAGGCAGCATCAAACTCATCATCTCCACTGAAATAAGGTTAAACCTCTTCCTACAGCCCTTGCCAACATCCTTCTCCTTTCTGCAAACCCACCTGGGCTCCCACGGGTACCCAAGGATGCCCCCCATTTAACCAAAAAAAAAATTGATATCATTTTGAATCCATTGAACCCAAAAAACCCCAATCAAATAAAAGGTTTTGAGCCCCACTTCCTACCCAGGGAGGTTTTGATGATGGCGCATTTCTCCCTCCGCTCGCAGGTGGTTTCGTTGGCCCCGCGGAAGCACCCGACGTAGGGGATTTTGTATTTGCAGACCTTGCACTGCAGAGCTTCAACTGCAAGGGAAGAACGGCAACAGAAACGACGCAAAGGGTTTTCAGCCCAGTTCTGCAGAGATTTGGGCTGATTTTCCCCCATTTTTTTCCCAGTTAGAAAGCAGCAGTGGCCCCAAAGATCGGGGTCCCAACCATTGGGGTCCAACCATCACCTTCATTCACAAACCCACTGTGGCACAGAATAGCTGGGTTGGAAGGCACCTTGAAGAGCACTCGGTGTTCTCCTCGTTAAAGCCAAATTAACCCCAGTCCTAATTAACTCACCCACTCCGACACACAGGACGAAGGCCAGCCCGACGAAGAGCAGCTTCATCTTGGGGTTGAACTTCCTTTGGGAATCAGCCCTAAAGCGGGGAGAAAAGGGATAAGAGAGAGACAAACATCCGTTTCCAGCCTCCTTTTCGGGGCAAAAAGCAGAAATTCGAAGTATTTGAGAGAAAATCCAAGCGCCCAACGTGGGGCTCGAACCCACGACCCTGAGATTAAGAGTCTCATGCTCTACCGACTGAGCTAGCCGGGCTTGCAAAAACGCCTTTTCCCGCCTTTTTTTCCCCTGCTTTAAGTTGTAGGCGCTGAGCTTCAGAGTTGGCTTCAAAACGAAGGCGCACGGCAGGGGAAAAAAAACCCCAAAGCAAAACCCCAAAAGGGGCCCCTTTACCTGAACGCCACCAGGTCTGACGGCACCTGCAGCCCCCACTGCTTTTATAGGGGCCGGATTCCTGCCATGTTGGGGCTGAACGACCCGAGAGCTGATATTGTTTGATGGGAACAATGCTGCCAGCAGCTGGGCAAACACGGCGCAGGGGGCAGGAAAGCATTGGTGACCTCTGCGATCCTTCCATTTCCTAGGGAATCCCACCCAGATCTGCTCAAAAACCCCACGGTTACGGCCTTGAGGAACGCCGTGTTTAATTACGGCGCGGCGTTTTTAATTGGGGCGTGATTCCAAAGGTGATTCCGAGGAACCTGGGGGTCACCTTCGTCACCTGCGTCACACGAAGGCGGGGGGTTTTGTGGCTGCCCTTGGGCTGATGGCACGAATCCCAGTGAAATGTGGGTTTTCCAGAGCGTGAAGCCAAACGTTTGCCCAAATTGAGGGAGGTGTTCACAGTGCGTGGCATCACAGCTCTGAAAATGGGCGGCGGTGTCTGAAAATGGGGAATGGTGTCTGAAAATACGGGGCAAGATGTTGAAAATGGGGAATGGTGTCTGAAAATACGGGGCAAGATGTTGAAAATGGGGAATGGTATCTGAAAATATGGGGTGTGATGTTGAAAATAGGGAATGGTATCTGAAAATGGGGAATGGTGTCTGAAAATATGGGGCAAGATGTTGAAAATGGGGAATGGTATCTGAAAATATGGGGTGTGATGTTGAAAATAGGGAATGGTATCTGAAAATGGGGAATGGTGTCTGAAAATAGGGAATGGTGTCTGAAAATGGGGAATGGTGTCTGAAAATAAGGGGCGTGATGTTGAAAATGGGGAATGGTGTCTGAAAATAGGGAATGGTGTCTGAAAATAGGGAATGGTGTCTGAAAATATGGGGCGTGATGTTGAAAATGGGGAATGGTATCTGAAAATATGGGGTGTGGTGTTGAAAATGGGGAATGGTGTCTGAAAATATGGGGTGTGAAGTTGAAAATGGGGAATGGTATCTGAAAATATGGGGTGTGAAGTTGAAAATGGGGAATGGTGTCTGAAAATACGGGGCAAGATGTTGAAAATGGGGAATGGTATCAGAAAATATGGGGTGTGATGTTGAAAATGGGGAATGGTGTCTGAAAATGGGGAATGGTGTCTGAAAATACGGGGTGTGATGTTGAAAATGGGGAATGGTATCTGAAAATGGGGAATGGTGTCTGAAAATGGGGAATGGTGTCTGAAAATATGGGGTGTGATGTTGAAAATGGGGAATGGTGTCTGAAAATATGGGGTGTGATGTTGAAAATAGGGAATGGTGTCTGAAAATATGGGGTGTGGTGTTGAAAATGGGGAATGGTATCAGAAAATACGGGGTGTGGTGTCTGAAAATATGGGGCATGATGTTGAAAATAGGGAGTGGTATCTGAAAATAGGGGGGTATTGTCTGAAATTGGGAATGGTATCTGAAAATATGGGGCATGATATTGAAAATAGGGAATGGTATCTGAAAATACGGGGCACGATATCTGAAATTATAGGGTATAGCATCGAAAATGGGGCGTTCCGTCTGAAAATATGGGACACAGCGTTAAAAAATATGGGGTCCAGCATCTGGAAATATGGGGTGCGGTGTCGAAAATGGGATGCGGTGTCTGAAAATTCCCCAGGATTGAGGGGGGAAAAATAAAACGAGCCGCCCAACGTGGGGCTCGAACCCACGACCCTGAGATTAAGAGTCTCATGCTCTACCGACTGAGCTAGCCGGGCTGGTAGCGGCCAATTAGCAGTGAAGCACTAATCAGCGTGCTAATTGCAGCTGCGCACCGTGCAGGGGGAGAGCGGAGCGTTGCAGGAGGAGGAGGGAAGCTGCAGCAGGAGCTCCGGGCTGAGAAATTGGGTTTGTTTTCTTCCTTCTGCAGTGCAAAATGTGCACAACGCACAGAGAGGCTCCGGGAGGCGCCAAAGGGCCGCGGGATTTATGCGCGGGGTTCGGCTGGGGGCGCTTCGAGAGGAAAATGAGGTTTGAAAATGAAAGTTTTTGTTATCTTAGATAAAATATATCGCTTTGAGGCAGATCTTCCCTGACCGGGAATCGAACCCGGGCCGCGGCGGTGAGAGCGCCGAATCCTGACCACTAGACCACCAGGGAACCCCATAGCAGCCTGCTTTTACCATTCGCCACCCCAAAATCGCCTTTTTTCCCCTCATTTTGCCGCTCCCCAAACAAATGGGATTTTTACCCGCAGGGCATCGGCTGCGTTCAGCTCCAACAGCCCCCAGCCTCCCCTTCTCAGCTGCGATAGGAAGGCAAGCAGGCAGAGCGCTGCTATTTCTGCTCCTCCACGGAAGGATGAGGCTCTAATTATTGTAATTACAGCTTTTCTCATCCTTGGCAGCCACGAGAGTCCCAGAATATCGATTTTTCTCTGATTTTTGGGCATCTTTCCTCGCTGGGAGACAAACAGAGCCCCACAGCCCAATGTAATGGCAGCGAGCTGCGCTCGTTAATTGGATGGGGAGGCTGAGAGTTTTGGCTGCTGGTCCAGGTCATGACCTGGGAACAAACAAATCCATGCAGGAGCAGGAATGCGTGAGGGTTCCTGCATTCATTCCGTTGCGTTTTTTGTTTGGCATCTGTGAATGCAAAATGTGGTTGGGGGGGGGGGGGGAGGGAGAGAAGAGGTGATGGGGTGGCTTAGGAACTGGAAATACCATTTGGGGAATGGAAAAGAATGGCCGATGTAAGTGCGAAAATGAAAAAAAAAGGGACTGAAAACGTGAGGGATTCCTGGAAGAAAGCGGTTTGAGTGAAAATGATGGGTGAAAATTGGAAAAAAAGTGGTGTAAGCGCTCAGATGAAGGGGGTTGAAGTCAAAGTGTGGGGAAAAGAACGGCAAAATAGCGCTCGGGGTTTGTAGAATAAGTCAAAGTACGGGGGAGAACGGGGAAAGGCAGCTTGGATTCTTAGAAGAATATGGATATGTAAAAGATACCGACGTAGAAAAAAAAAAAATTAAAAGGTGAATGAAAAACTGAAGTGTTTCTGCCCGGTTTCGAACCGGGGACCTTTCGCGTGTGAGGCGAACGTGATAACCACTACACTACAGAAACCACATACGAGGCTCCCGTAGGCCGCTATTTCCAGTAGGGTTCACCAAAGCTCTTTTTCCACCCGAATTCCTCGCCGAACCTCGAAAACGGCCGTTTTCCGGTAAGCAGCAAAGATTGGAGGCGTGAGGAAGAAAAAAAAAAAGGTGAAGAGAAAGAAAACAGACGCTCCGACCCGCTTTATGGGTTGAACTTCCCTGACCGGGAATCGAACCCGGGCCACGGCGGTGAAAGCGCCGGATCCTAACCACTAGACCACCAGGGAGAGCTGAGATGCTGTTCTATTTAATTTTCTCTCATTTTTCAATTTTTTTTTCCTTCACTCTGTTATTTTCTTTCATTTCGCCCTTTTTCTTATCTTCTCCTCTTCCTCTTTTCCTCCCCTCGATTTCAAACGTTTTTCCTCGTTGCGAATGAGCTCTTTCCGCCTTGCGCGTTGCCAACGCTTCCTTCAGCCCCATGCAAGGTGTTGCAAAGAAAAACAAAGTGCAACAATAAACTGTGAGATCGGTAAAATAAAGGCTCACAAGGGCTCCCTGGTGGTCTAGTGGCTAGGATTCGGCGCTTTCACCGCCGCGGCCCGGGTTCGATTCCCGGTCAGGGAAAGATGTACTTAATTTTCCCCAAATTTCATCGCTTTTATAAATTCTCACCGCCCCCAAGGAAAATATCAGCCTGAAAGCGGAGCTGTGAAATTTCGGTTTTGCCTTTTTGTAGCCGCTTTTCCTTCCACCTCCTGTGCTGATGTAAGGGATGAAGAATCACCAGAATCGCGAAAATAGGTTAAAAAGATAAAAGCAAGGTGAGTGTTTCTGCCCGGTTTCGAACCGGGGACCTTTCGCGTGTGAGGCGAACGTGATAACCACTACACTACAGAAACCCCTTCGAAACTGTATTCCTGCCTGTCCCCGCTGTGACCTCAAAATCTGCTTTAAAAAAAATAATAATTTAGGCCATTTTCCTACTTTTTTGGTCATTTCTCCGGCCTTCTTGCGAGGGAGGCTCGTTTTGCTGATTTCTCTCCCATTTATGCATCTGCTGCAGCAGTTTGTTTTCCCCAACGCAAATCAGGGCAAATATTATGGCAAAAAAAAAAAAAAAAAAAAGGTAGTTTTACCGCGGATGGCTTTAAAATAAAGAGAAAAATCAGAATAGAAGGGAAGCAAATGCTGCTCTGCTGTTCCCCCTCCATGGCCGTGCACAGGACTGAGGAAATCTTCCGTTAAATCAACCCTTTTGGGGCAAAAAACTGTGAAGTGCTGCATCTCGTGGGACCGTAAGAAGTGAAGGGGAAAAAAGATGTTAAAATTTAGGGGGGGGGAGAGGCAAAAAATGCACTTGTCAGGAGTGGGATTCGAACCCACGCCTCCAGGGGGAGACCAGAAATCCCAACCAGGGAAGGTAGAACCTTGAGTCTGGCGCCTTAGACCACTCGGCCATCCTGACGGCGTGAAAGCAGTCCCTAAAAAGGGATTATCTAGACCTAAAAATGATGTTTTTTGTAATGTAGTTTTAATTGGGGCTTTATGGGGCTGGTCGCTACAGGGTTCGTTTAGATTGGGAAAAATAAAGGGGGAAAAAGAATCAAGCGCCCAACGTGGGGCTCGAACCCACGACCCTGAGATTAAGAGTCTCATGCTCTACCGACTGAGCTAGCCGGGCTGCGTGAAGCACCCTATTTGACCCTATTTTGCTGTTGGTTTCAGCGGTTTCGTCGTTGTTGGGGGCTGCAAAATGCGCCACCGGGCTGCGTTTTTCTGCTCGTATTCCGAAGAAAAAACGGCTTTATTCGGGGTAAAAAAAAAAGATAATTTATTTCGGGGTCAATTAAAGGGAGAATTCAATTAAAGAGTGAAGGGATTGGGAGGTAAACGAGCCCCCACGGAGGTTTCTGTAGTGTAGTGGTTATCACGTTCGCCTCACACGCGAAAGGTCCCCGGTTCGAAACCGGGCAGAAACACTTCGGCTTTGAGTTTTTTTCCGCTTTTTGAGATTTAATTATTATCGTTGCTGCGTTTGGAAGTGAAGCCCAACGCTTCCCGTCGGCAGGAGTTGGCAAGGAAACAGAAGCAAAAAAAGCAGGGGAATTATTTCCTTTTTTGGGGGGGAAATTCAGAATCTTTCCAACGAGTAAAAGGGGAAAAATAAAAAGGGGGAATTGGGGGGGAAAAAGATACTTTCCCTGACCGGGAATCGAACCCGGGCCGCGGCGGTGAGAGCGCCGAATCCTAACCACTAGACCACCAGGGAGGCTGGTAAGCTGCAATCATTGCCTACTCCATCACACCCACCCAAAATTACTTTTATTTTTTCCTTTTTTCTCTCAATTTTTGATCAATTTTCCTTCGATTTTAACTCCTTGCCTTCGGGGCTCATCACTTCAATGACCTCCAAGGGTCCCTCCCCACTCAAACGATTCTACAACTTCAGATCAAGATCCCACAAGGCATTTTATCTCCTCATTTTGACCTTAACGCTGAAATTTGGGGGGGTTTTAGGCAACGTGGCCATTGCACAGCGCAGGAATGGCTGCTGTGCTCTGACACATCGGGGGTTCTGCAGATGTTCCCATTCACCACCCCCAATCCCGTTGCCCACGCTGAGAAAACACCACAACTGCTGCTTAGGAGAAGTAATTTCTTATCATTTCTGCAGTTTGCATCCAGGATTTAGCAGGTAACACTCATGGGGTCGCGAACCAAAAGTCATCTCTGCGGGGTGACCCCATATGTGGGGTGATGAAACCATGGAGCGTTCCCAGATTTGGGGTGATGAGACCCTTTGGTTTCCCCACATTTCGGGTGAAGTGCCCTTGGGGTCTCCCCATAGTTTGGGTGATGAGACCATGAGGTCTACCAAAGGCTGGAGGTGACGAAACCATGGGGTGCCCCCAGAATTGGGGCGATGAGACCATGAGACCTCCCCAGGTTTGGGGTGATGAGACCCTCTGGTTTCCCCACATTTGGGATGATGAGACCCTTTGAATTCCCCACATTTGGGGTGATGAGACCCTTTGGTTTCCCCACATTTCAGGTGATGAGACCCTCTGGATTCCCCACATTTGGGACGATGAGACCCTCTGGATTCCCCACATTTGGGATGATGAGACCCTTTGGTTTCCCCACATTTGGGATGATGAGACCCTCTGGTTTCCCCACATTTGGGATGATGAGACCCTTTGGTTTCCCCACATTTGGGGTGATGAGACCCTTTGGTTTCCCCACATTTGGGATGATGAGACCCTTTGGTTTCCCCACATTTGGGATGATGAGACCCTCTGGATTCCCCACATTTGGGATGATGAGACCCTCTGGTTTCCCCACATTTGGGGTGATGAGACCCTCTGGTTTCGCCACATTTGGGATGATGAGACCCTCTGGTTTCCCCACATTTGGGGTGATGAGACCCTCTGGTTTCCCCACATTTGACCGAGTGACGCTCGAGGCATTGCTGCCCCTCGGGGTCTCACGGGCCCAGCGTGAAGCGGCAGCCCCTCCCCAGGCAGAGCAATGGAAGGAGCCTCTCCCCTCCAAAAGAACTGGGAGGGTAGGCAAAAATGGGCACCTCGTTGTTGGCGTCGAAAAACGCCACCCGCCCGGCCTCATAATCCAGATAAATCCCAATCACCCTGGGGGCAGAGAGCAGCGCGATGGGGCTGGCGGGCGACGTGAGAGCCTGGTACTGCGCCCCGCATTGCCCCACCGCCCAGATCCCCGCCTCGGGTTTGACGCTGATCCTTCCCTTCCTGCCCACCGACTCCTTGGCCACTCCGACGGCCCACGCCTCCCCGTCTCCCACCTCCACCTCCCAGTAGTGCCGCCCAGCGTTGAAGCCTCGGCAGCCCAGGACGCAGCGGGACGAATCGAAGCGTTTGGGGTTGTCAGGGGCAGGGTGCCGGGCTTCTTCCCATCGCACGCATTTCTGGTCTTCGGACAGCAGCAGCCGGGGATGCGCCGTGTCGGGATCCAACGTCAGACTTTCTGAGGGTGGGAGAGATGAGAGTTGGAAGCACGGCTTGATCTCAGATTGCTTAAGGCTGCGATTTCCCTGCTTTCCCTTCACCTCAGAGCCATCATTTCCCCATTCTCCCCAGCCCGGGACATTCCAGCTCCCAGTTCAGGGTACTGCAGTGATGCAGGAATGGTTTCATTCCTACAAGGCTTGAGGAAGGGGAGTTTTGTAGTCACCACGAGGTCGGAAGGGACCTTTGGGGAACGTCTGATCTGCATTCCACCCCCCACTATTCCTTAAGATCCTTTTTTTTTTGATCCTTTGATCCATTTTGTTGCCTACAGACATGTAGAATCAACCCAATTTTTTTCCAACGCCAAAGAGGATCTCACTCGAGTTCGTACCACCCATGAAAACATGCTTGAAAATCCAGCTGACCAAATATTCCCTTTGTTTACCAGAAGGAAATACACACAAACTGCCAAACAGACCCAAATCCATCGCAAACTCAACCCTTCTCCCCCCTACCTCGAAACTGCATCAATGTCTCCTTGAGGGAGGTGTTTTTCGGAGCAGGGCTGGCTGAGTTCCCTCCTGCTGCAGGCAATATCTCTGTCACCTTCTGGGATTTCTCATTCTCCAGCCTGGAAGGAATGCACAACGTTTCCTATTTTCCTCGCCGGTTTGGGTTTTTCCAACAACCCACCTCCCTTCACCCACCACCGTTCGCATCAGGGTCTGACATGGGGGTGGAGATTCCAATCCATTTCCCCTTCTGGCTGGATGCACTCCTGGGTGCTTAATTATCGGGTTAATTTCATTAGATGTTTGAGTAGGGTTGCAATTTTGTATGGCCCAGGGCACCTATTGGAGCTCCCTGCTTTTATCCTGTAGGTCTGAAAAGGGGGTAATATGGGAGTGGGATTTCACTGCTGAGCATCACAGCCACAGGAACAAATTACACTCATAGAGACGCACGGAAGGAACCACAAACCTGCTCAAGATGTTCTTGCTGTCCTGCAAGGGGAAGAAGGGAGAAGAGCATCAGGGCGAGAGCGACGTCAACCCAACGTCATGACCCACTTTCACGACCCTTCTCCTTCTGTACGTGTAATTAGTGCCAATCATAGAGTCGTTAAGGTTGGGAAAAGACCACCGAGGTCATCAGGTCAACCCACCCCACTCATAGAATCACTGAGGATGGGGAAGACTTTGAGGCCATCCAAGGACTCCAACCCCAACCCGTCACCCCCACTGCCACCAAACCATGGCCCCAAGCCCCACACCTGCACCCACACGGCATGTTCTATGTTCCAAACCAGGATTCCCTGCAGGCACACTCGGAGGTTTGGGTGACCACGCTGTGTGTGAAGGGATGCAATCTTTAGGCGTGCCATTTATTTGGATGCAGAGGCACGGTTGGATGGACGAACCCCGTGCCCATCTAAAACAGGGGTGTGAATCAACTGTGCTTGAATTAAAAGCGTTTCGAAGCTAACGGTGATGGGAACCTGTAGGAATTCACACGGTGGCTGCTGGCATTTCTCCTCCAGCTCGCGGATCTGCTCACTGACGGAGGAGATCTCCTCCAGGATCTTGGCCAGGTTCTCCTCTTTCCTCCTCACGATTTCCTGGTCCAGCTTTTCCAGCCGCCCCAAGAGGAGGCGCTCCTGTTGCTCCACGAACCGCTGCAGCTCCTTGACGTCCAACGCCACCTTCTGCCTCTCCTGCTGGACCTTTTCCTGCAGGGAAATGCAATGCAGGGGTGTAGAAGCGCTGCGGCGGAGCTGATTCATCGGGATGACTTTGTGTGCAGAGCAGCCATAAATTCCATTGCAGAGCGATGAGTAACGCTCTTCATTTTTGCTGTTTCTAGCCCAGGCATTTCCCAGGGCTGTGATCTTTGCACCCAAAATGCTGCAGACCTTTGGCCAGCAGGGTGTGAGATGAAGGGATGACTGAAGGGAAGGGAAGGCGCAAGGCTGCACTTACGAGGAATTCCAGGCTTTTCCCTTCCTCAGCCTCTTTCAGCCCCTGCAGTTTCTCCTTCTTTTCCTTCAGGATCTGCACGTGAGCCTGGATTTTCTCCTGGATGGAGAAAAAAACATTTTCCCAGCCCTCTCCCTTCTGAGAAATTCTGGGATGATTTTCAGGATCTCTACGATGGTCTGGGAATGAGACCTTGAAGAACATCGGGATGAACAAGGATGGAAGAAAATGGAGAGCCCTAAAGTGGAGAACGGCCATCGTCCAGCCCACAAAACACATTGAAGGAGGATGGAAACTCCAATACGATGGGGAATGCCACACATCAGAGCCATCCTTCACCCTCCTCCTCCTCCTCGGTGCCCTCCACCATCTCCTCAATGGGGGCAGCGTTGGGATGACCAACCGTGGAAGAGAACAGAGCCAACAAAGTGAAGACTGGCCATCCTCCAACCCAGAAAACACGTTGAAAAATGATGGAAACCCAACTATGGCAGCAAAGCAACACACCGGACCCCTCCTTCACCCTCCTCCTCCTCCTCGGTGCTCTCCACCATCTCCACGATGGGGGCAACGTTGGGATGACCAACAATGGAAGAGAACAGAGCCAACAAAGTGGAGACTGGCCATCCTCCAACCAAAACACGTGGAAAGAAGTCGTAAAGCCAAAGCTTTCCAAGCAAAGCAGCCCCCCAAGACCCCTCCACCACCCTCCTCACCTTCTGCTCCTCCACCGCCTCCTCGATGGGGACGGCGGCGTGCAGGCGGTGCGCCTGGGACTCCCTGCACACCAGGCAGATGGGAGCCTGGTCCTCCTCGCAGAACAGCTTCAGGGCCTCGCGGTGCCTCTCGCAGAGCCTCTCCCCAGCGCCGGGGGCCCTCAGGCTCAGCCTTTTGGCAATCTCGATGATCTTGGCCAGCTCGCGGTTGGGCCGCAGGTTTGGCTGCGCTGCCGTCGCCTTGCAGCGAGGGCAGGGGAAGGTTTGCTCCTCTTCCTCCCAGCAGCGGGTGATGCACGCCCTGCAGAAGTTGTGCCCGCAGTGGATGGAGACGGGATCTTGAAAGAAGCCCAAGCAGAGGGAGCAGGAAGCCTCGTCCTGGAAGCTCTCAGCTGGGTTATCTTCATCCATAGCGGTGACAGCGATAAATGACAGAGCAGCTTTCGTTTTCTGCTCGGTCTGTTGCCCTTCCTGCAGGTGCTGAGGAGAAGGTGAAAGGGAGCAGCGAAAATAAAACCGCCTTAATTACTTCCTGCCTCGTTAAGAGCGAGGCAGGACAAACACCCTTCGAGACCCAGAGGGATGGAAAGGTAACCCTATTTCCACCCAGGCCGTTCCCCTTCCTGCACGTGGAGGGAGAGGGAGTTTCATCGCAGGGAAAATAAACAGCCTTAATTACTTCCTGCCTCGTTAAGAGCTGCAGACCTCTGCGGGGCACCCCCTAAATCAAACACCAAGGGAAACGGATGGATGACCCCAACCCCACTCTTCCCTATGGGGCTCAGCCCCCGGCAATCTGCCTGCACTGCTTGTTAATAAAGGCACTTTTACAGCACTAATTAATTAGCAATGCAGCTTGACCAGCCCCCCCTGCTCTCAGCACCAGAACCTCCCCTTGTTTCCTCACTTCTTTTCCATTCGTTGCTCCTGTTTCTGCGCTCACCCCGCAGCTCTACTTTCAATTCTGCTTTTAATCAGCTTTCTGATTTTGTTTTTCACGGCTCAGCGCTGAGCCGAGCAGCAGCAGCCAATTACAGCTTATCTTTAATCGCATCCTGTTGCCAAAAGCTTTTGCTCTGCTCGCTCTGCAAAGCCCCCCGCTGCTCCCAGCCCCAAAAACCGACGTTTCTCCCCCAAAATGTGGCTTCAGAAATACTGAAAATGCTTTTAAAAATACCACGGGCTCTCCTGGAGCGTAATTCTTCACCCCACTGAATGAGAACCCCTCAATCTGCTCCATCCCACAGCCCACCGCCCTGCAGCGCATGCAAAGGTTGCATCCTGCATGCAAAGCAAGCGGTGCATGCTTGCACGGGGACGAAGCATCTCCTGAGAGCTGCCCTAAACAACACATCTGCTGTTATCCGTGCGTGGCGACCCTCAGAGGTTTGCAGCTTTTGGGTGCAGGACACTCAGAACGAAACCAATGGGACGTTGATGTCCTCCAAACCCAACGATGCTGCTTTGCTTTGCTTTGCTTTGCTTTGCTTTGCTTTGCTTTGCTTGGCCCCAAAGGGCCTCAATGGCCCCACCTGCACCCCACACCCACCCCGTGGCCATGGGAATCTCTTTTTGTTCAGGTTTGGGGCCTCTTGGAGGGGCATCCGTGCGTGGCTATGGGTTTTCTGATCCCACCCCGTGGCCTGGCTTCCCGATCCCATTGCCCTCCTGGGGGCGTTTTGGGGGGAATTTGGTGGAGATTTGGAGCAGTGTGGAGGAAAATGGGGTTTCTGGGGGCTGCCTGAGCCCGTTTATTTGCCCATATATGCAGCCCATATATGCCTGCAGGAAAATGTGATGGAGAGAAAATGTGGTTGAGGGAATACCTTCCCAAAGGGAGAGACTGAGGAGAGGGCGAAGCATCCATCGCCACATCCAACAGATGTTAAACAGTAAGAAGCCACAGAGCAGGGAACCAATTCTTGTAACATCAGCCCTAAAACTTAAAGCTTAAGGTGGCTTTGAGCGAGCCCAGTTCAGAAATTTTGATGCTTTATTATTATTATTATTATTATTATTATTATTATTATTATTATTATTCCTATATTGCTGTAAACTGAGGTGGGGCACCATTAAAAATAATGGCATCCTCCTGCAAACGAGCCCTGAGCTCACAGCGAGCAGCACCCGACGGTGCAGTGACAAAGCGTGGGCTCGGGGGGGGGCAGGAGGCTCTGCTGTAGGGCAGAGGCGTTTTCTCAACCCCTTCCTGCAAGAAGAGCAAGAGCGTGATTAATTAAGGCGGATTTTTTAAATGGGTTTCTGCTTAATTGCTTCAAGGCGTGGATGTTTTGGGTACCAGAGCAGCGGTGTTCAGGGCGTGAGTGCCTCTTTATAGGGGCTGCAACCAGCGAGGCTCGGACCGTCGGCAGTTGTCCCCCATCCCAGCTCAGACCCCTCCTCAAATCCCCTTTGCTCCCATCCGCGCTGTGGGTTCTGTCCCCTTTCCTCCCCCCCTGCCCTGCCATAGGGACCAGGCGTTTTGGTGCTGATCTGTAGGGCGCAGAGACCGCTATGGGGGATGCAATATGCAATCATCAACCCTCACCCTACCCTAAGCCCCCTCCCCAAATCCCTTTTGTTCTCACCCCCGTTCTTCCCCCCCGTACCAACCCGTGTTTAGGGCACACTTCTATGGGATGCAGCCATCGAGCCATCACCGCCTCTCCCCCACCCCGAGCTCAGCCCTGGCTCTGCCCACCCCAAACCCTCGGGGAGGGGGGCGGTGGGAAGGGAAACGCCTTCCACAAAGAAAATGAAACTCTCAGTGCTCCGCGGGGCCCCATGGCTGCACCCAGCCCAGCGTCCCACCTCCCCAGCGAAGCCTCCTGCCCCATTTGCCTGGAATATTTCCGAGATCCCGTCTCCATCCACTGCGGCCACAATTTCTGCAGGGACTGCATCGCTCGGTGCTGGGAACGGAGCACGGGGGATTTCTGCTGCCCGCAATGCAAGGAGACGGCGGCGGAGAGGATTTTATGTCCCAACAGGGAGCTGGCGAGGATGCTGGAGATCGCCAGGAGGCTGAGCCTGCAGGCAGCCCAGAGGGACGCTGCGGGGCAGGAAGGATGCAAAAAGCACCGGGAACCTCTGAGCATTTATTGCAAAGACGATGAAGCTTTCATCTGCCTCATCTGCCGCGAGTCGCGGCTGCACCGGGCTCATGTGATGCTTCCTGTGCAGGATGCTGTCCAGGAATACAAGGTAAAGGCTTCATTTGTTGGCTGGATTATTATTTTTTGATGGCGTTTTTCCCATCTCACCGTGATGCTCCCTCTGTGGCACTTCGCTATGGGGCTGCAATGCGTCCCACCCCACACCCAGGGCTGTAAATGGGGGGCAGAAGCGCCGTCCCCTTTCTCTGGGTGCTCAGAACCCCCACAGCAAAGCAGGCTGTTTCAATATGATGCTTCTGCTGCTTACTTCCCACGCTGGGTCCTGACCTGAAGGTTTCTGCAAGCCAAAGGGCTTCAGCCCCTCCTCCCCATTGCAGAACTCGATCTGGTTCATCCGTGCATTCCTGATGGCTAAAGGTAAAAAACACAGCAATAAAGAGGGTGCTTTCAATGAGTCGGATCCAAAAGCTCTGTGGCATTGATCACCGTTTGAACCATTCCCCTGCCCTGAGCTCCTGGACCAAGGGGCTGAAGGGAAGCCCTGGAGCTGACCACCACGCAGACCCCCTCCCAAATCAATGCGTTTCGGGTGCTCTGCCATCTCCCAACTCCTGGAATTGCATTTTCTTCCCCCAGGAACAAATCCAATCCCGTCTGCAAGCGCTGAAGGAAGGCAGAGACAAACTCCTGGGGTTCCGAGAGGCTGAGATGAGGAGAAATTGGGAGTATTTGGTGAGCGTCTGTTTAACTGTCATGAGCAGGATGGGGGTCTGGGTGGGTTCCTTTGGCTTTAGGGGTAGGGCTTTAGGGTCAAGGGATGGAAAGAGCAAAACCTGATTGGGAAGGGACGCAGTTGGGGGATGCAAAGCAAAAATTCATTGGGGAGAGACTCAATGGGGGGATGCAAAGCAAAATCTCACAGTAATGAAGCATCGTGGGCTCAGGGTTGCATTGCAATCCATCGGGACATCCCTGCTGTGGAATATGTTTGGATAATCGGGTGCTGCCTCTTCCTGGGGGTGCAGGACTCGCTGGCTCCTCCTGTGACTCCTTGTCCTTGCAGGAGAAAACCAGCACCGAACGGCAGAAGGTTTTGGGTGTATTTGAAGGGCTGCGGCTCTTCCTGGAGGAGCAGGAACGTCACCTGCTGGCCCAGCTGGAAAACACAGAGAGGGACGTGGAGAAAACGCAGGAAGAGAACGTCACCATCCTGACCAAGGAGATCTCCCAGCTGGATGCCATCATCCAGGAGACGGAGGAGAAGTGCCAGCAACCAGCAAGCCAGTTTCTGCAGGTGAGGAGGTGGAAAATGCCACGGTTGGCATCACCGTGTTTTACGGCCGTGGGCGATGGCCGACAGAAAGCTGTTGGGTTTTCGGTAGGGATTTCGCTGCCAAAATCCTTTCACTGAGTTTCTTTTCCCCTTTCTCCCTTCCAGGACATCAGGAGCACCGTGAGCAGGTATGAAGGGAGCTTCCTGAGCCCATCTTGTTCAATGGAAGCAAATGGGATGGAGGGGAGAGATGGCATGAAGTGGGAATGGCTCCAGGCTGGCAGCTTCCTTCTTTCCTCTTCCTCCAGGTTGGGAAAGGAGAACTTCCAGCAGCCCGTGTTGCTTCTTCCAGACCTGGAAAGGAAACTCAGCCACTTCAGGGAGAAAAATAATGCATTAGAGGAGATTCTGAAGAACTTCAAAGGTATCGAGCATGGGCTGGAGCGGGGAGCATCAGTTGTGCTTGTTGGAATCAGAACCATAATGGACTTCTTGAAGAGAAAAGAATTTCTGGGCAAAATAAGAGATTCTGGGCAAAAAACACTGAGATTATGATGTTAAATCAGACATTTCTTTTCTTCTCCCCTTTCTTGTAGAAATCCTGATGTTTGAGCTGCCTGAAAAGAGTAAGTCCATCTTCTGGAGCAGGAGGGACTGAGAGAAGCCAAAGGAAGGATGAGAGCAGCATGGGGTGGGCTGTGTTCTGGGGGAAGATCTGGGGAAGATACTTTTGTCTGAACAGAGCAATAAAATAGAGGGGGAAAACATCTCAAGGAGTCAGGGAAGCCTTTGCCCAAAGAGGGTCCCAAAGAGGGTCCCAAAGAGAGTCCCAAGGAAGGAAGAGCATCCCAAAGAGAGCAGAGCTTCCCAAGGGATGGGGTGAAATCCAGCGGACCTCCCTGCTCATCCCAGCAACCCTGGGCTCATGGGACACGCTCTGGTTTCCTTTGGCAGTGAGTGTGACCCTGGATCCATCCACAGCTCACCCCCAGCTCTCCGTGTCAGCGGATGGGAGCAGCGTGAGGTGGGAAGATGCCCGACGGGATGCAGCCAAGGAGGAATTTGGGACCGATCCCTTCGTGCTGGGCTGTGAGGGCGTCACGTCGGGGAGATGCTGCTGGGAGGTGGAAGTGGCACCCGAAGGCTCCTGGGCTGTTGGTGTGGCCAAAGAATCCCTAAAGAGGAGGGAAGAGAGCGGTGCGAGCCCTGAGGTTGAGCTCTGGTCTATGGGTTTCTGTGAGGGACAGATTTGGGCTCTGTCCTCCTTTGAGCGCATGACGTTGCCCCAAATCCAGGTTCCCAAAAGGGTTCGGGTCACCCTGGACTACGAGAGGGGCCAGGTGGCATTTTTTGATGCTGATAAGAGGGCTCTGATCTTCATTTTCCCATCGGCCTCATTCCAAGGGGAGAGCATCCACCCCTGGTTCCTGGTGTGGGGCGAGGGCTCTCAGATCACGCTGTGTCCCTGAAGCTCCCCCGTACCCAAACACCAACATTACGACCCCAACATCCCTGTCCCAGCGCTTTGGGGGGCTCCTATTGAATTCCTCGTTGGATTTTCTGCCTTCTCTTCCCATTCCCAGCCACCCCAAAAGCTTAAGCACCTTCAGGTCAGGGTTCAGAATTACCAGTGCCAGTTTTGGGGTTTCATTAGCAAACAGAGACCCTTTTACCCCATCTTGCATCACTCGGATTCTCCAATCTTACGGTTTTAGATGAAATAAAAAGGTTTGTATGTCATAAAGTTCTTCCGTGCCTGTTTATTCACTGCTCCTGGATGCCAGGTTCATGGGGAACCTCATTAAGGGGAGACCAACGGGTTCTCTTACGCATAGAGGTGCAACCAGATGGGGAGAGACAGAAATCTTTAATCTTTCTGATCCCCCAGATGTTCAGAACGACCCTGAGGATGCGGGAAATAAATCTGAAGGGTTTGTTGGCCCAAATCCCAAGGGTTTGGGATGAGTAAATCCCATTCCTGGCGCCTGCACAACGTTGGCCGTGTTGGAACCCAGAAAGACCCGTTCAAGTGGGTCATCCCTGAAAGCTGCCTACTGTATTCTGCTGTCTATTGGCAGAGAGACACAGAGGGGAAAATCAAGTGCTTTATTAAGAGTCATTGTACACTATGAGGCTTCAAACACCAAATCTTCAAGAAGGTGGACCGCTTGATTTGAAGGTGACCATCTCAGGTCGGGGACAGCAGTACCTCATCAGGCAAACCCTGGGGAAATCCGCCTTCCTGCCGCTCTGTTGGGTGGGATTTTCCCTTCTGACCACTCTTTCCTACATTCTAATCACCCAACGCAGCACTTTTTCCCTTCTGTTGCCCCGTTTTTCTCTCGCTCAGCACTTCTTGGTGATATCAAGTCAGTCAGTGTCACAGCGGTGCGATGCCACGGCGGTGGGTTCGTAGGGATGAAGGATGCGCAAAAACCCAGCTCCTCATCTCATCTTCTCCCCATGGGATGGGAGGGGAAGGGGCCGCCCCCTGAGGCTGTAGGATGTGGGGTGACCCTCGTCTGCATCTCAGGGGCACAGCCTGAGCTGGGACCTGACCCCCACCACCCACAGCCACGGACGGACCCCCTCCCCAGCGAAAGATGCGTGGGAAAAGACAAAGATGAGCCCCCCTTCGTCGGCGTCGAAAAACGCCACCGTCCCTCCGGCGTAGTCCAAGTGGATGCTGACCCTCCTGGGCACCCAGCGCAGTGCTAACAGGGTCACCTTGTGGGTGGTGAGAGCCCGGATCTGTCCCCCCCATTTCTCCACCCCCCAAATCCCCCCTTTGGGACAGAGGCTCAGTTGACCTTTTCGTGGGATGGATTCTCGAGCCACGCCGACGGCCCAGTCCCCTTCGTCCCCCACTTCCACCTCCCAGCAGTGACGGCCGGAGGAGAAGCTTGGGTGGCCCAAAACAAAGGGCCAGTAGGCGAATCTTTCGGGGTTATCGGGGAGGTCCTGCTGTCCTGCCCCACGTTTCACACTCTTCCTGTCTTCGGAGAGGACGAGGTCGGGGTGAGCGGTGTCGGGGTCCAGGGTGATGCTGGCTGTGGGGTGTAAGAGGAGGGGGAGGTTTTGGGGGTCCTCCGTGCTGAAGCCACCAAGGATGGGGAGAGGTTTGGATCTAAAGCAAGGTTTGGATCTTTGGAGAGGGCTGGCACTAAATGGGTTGCATTTGCTCCAGCTGGCCCCACTGGAGGAGGGTTGTAGGACGGGACCGTCCCTCCCAACCTCAACCGTTCTGTGGGGCCGTGGGTTGGCATCAGGAGGGTAAAAAACCCCAAAGAAAGAAGTAAAAAGACGAAAGGTGGAGACCCCTCCCATGACAATAAAAGAGTGTTTTGAGCCCCCGAAATGACCAGAAATGAAAGGTGTTGCTGCAGACTTCCAGCTCCAAAAGAAACGGTGGGGGGAGAAAAAATGGAAGGAAAGGGGTCTGTGGGATGTTACCCAGCACAGCCTGCAGTGCTTTATCTCCTAGGCCAACCCAGACCTGTTCAGCCAACCCCCCCCACCCCAAAAAAAAAGAGCTGAAATCTGAAGGCAGGGATAATGAATGAGGTCAACCCGCCCGCCCTATTTGCTGATGGGGAACCATCAAGGCGAGGGATCTGCCCTGGGGCCATCATCCCAAATTACAGCCAGGCTCGGCCTGCAGGGTGAGGAAAACTCGTTTGGTCGCCCTGATTTTGTGAGTTCCTCCCTCAGCCTCCATTTCTGCCCGTTTGGGTTCAGCCCGTGGGTCCAGGCGCGTCTCCATCCGACAGGCAACGCGGCTTTGGGTTCCCATGCTGGGCAAAGAAGCACTTTTAGGAAAGGCAAAGCTGGAGGGGAGCAAAGCCAGAGAGCTTCACCCGTGAGCACTTCTAAGAATCACAGCAAAACGTGTAATTAAGAGAGTGGCAAATGAGGCATTGAGTCCTCCGGGGCTCAACCACTCGTTTCTCCCTACCGGGGGTAACCCGCTGCTCTTATATCTCTCTGCTTTATTCTGCTGTGTCCAAAACCAGCTGGTTTTCACCAAAATATCACCTTTTCCCACCTGAAACCTTTCTGAGTACCTTGAAGCTTCTTGAGGTGTTCCTTCAGAGCTCCATTCCTCCATGAGAAATGGCTCAGCCTCTCTTCTGGCCCCGCTGGCAGCTGGAAGGTCACCTTTCCGCACCTGGGGGAAGGTGGGAAATGGAAATAATAAATCATAATGTAATAATATAATATAATAAAATTATAAAATGATAACATCGGTGCATTTTTTTTTCAGGGTGGTTCCATCACAGAGGACCATGCAGGAAATCCGATGTCATGAGGGACCGGGGGATGGAGATGCTTCCCTCCTTGGCAACCCAAACCTCGCCAGGGCAAAGGCTGAGCATTTCTACTTGAAATAACGACCTAATTAATTACTGTTTCTTGGAGACCTGCTTGGGTGGAATGGGCGAGAGAAAAGCTTGGAGACATTGCAGGGAATTAAAACGAGCCTTTGCCACGCGGAGGCTCAGTTTTGAGATGGAGGCCCCTCTGATCATTACATCCCTGGAATCACCAAGGAGGTAAAAGCAGGAAGCAGCACGCAGAGGCCAAAATACCCCAAATACCCCCCAGATCTCACAGTTCCCCTGGAGCAGAGGAGCCTCCGCTGATGAGCTTCCTTCCCTACGGTCACCACCGCTCGATGCAAAGCTCACAGAGCAGCTTTTCAGAGGGGCCACGTACCTGGTGGAGGGGCTTCTCACATCCTGGGGACAGAAGAGAGGAAGGGGAGAGGGAACTCAGGCCAGCGCACGACCCGTTTTGCCTTTAAAGCATGGAAAATGGAGCTTTTGAGTGAGGGTGGAGCTCCGGGGTCTTCCAAGCTGCGCCCCATTTTGTCCTTAAGCCATAAAATAACTGAGCAGAGATGGATCTCTCTGCTCTTCCTCCGTGAGGAAGGTGAACAGCCAGGAGCACCCATGCGCCGCAATGGATCCTGCAGATCCACCCCATCTCCCAACCCAGCCGTGGTTTTTCCCCTTTTAAAACGGATCCCCACGAGGATCTTCCACACCAAAAATACTGGGAGGAGAGGAGAAAACGGTGGGAGGAAGAGGAGGCTGCAGACCCCCGTCTCCTCATTGCGGTGGGGGCTTTGGGCTGATGGAACGGTGTAAAATAGGAGGAAAACACCTGATGGAGCCACCAGCCCGGGGTGGGGAGGGCATCCCTAAAGGATTTTTCCCCTTGAAAAGAGCTTCCCTGGAGGAATTCGCTCACCGAATGCTGACTCTTCTCTCCCTGTGGTTTCGTTTCCTGCTGGGAAATCTCCCCCGAAAGCTTGGCGGTGTTTTTCTGCCTCTTCTCGATCTCATTTTTCAGGTCTTCCAGCTGCCCAGAGCAAGAAGAGCTCCGTGTTTTCCTGCTGAGCGCTCCCTGCTGGGGCCCAGCTTTCCTTCTGATGCAAGAAGTGGAACATAAAGAGCAGTGGGGCTGGAAATACCATGGGGGGCTCATGGGTGGGCATCACCCACCGGAGGAGCTCAATGGTGAGCTGGAACCCTTACTGAATTGTGTTGAATTTGGGGGGCAGGGGAGGGAAGAAATGAAACCCAAAAAGGCATAAACAGATGGGCACGAATTCGGGGCAGAAAGGCGAGGGTCCTAAAGGCACAGGAGGCAAAAAGGATGGAGAGAAATGAGGCTACGGACGACGCAGCGCTGACACCTACCAGGTCCTCCAGGTTTGGGCACTCCAGGGCGCTCTTCTTCCTCACAGCCCTTCTCTCTCCTCCTTTGGGAAGCCTAACGTCCCTCTGGATTTCTTCCCTGGTGAACCTACAGAACCTGTTGTTTTCAGCCCTTTGATGGGGTTTGGGGTTTTCCCTTCCTGTTCCTTCCCATTCCGGGGTAGAGCTGCGGGATGGATGGGTTGAGCCCGCAGGTCTGCTCCTGGTGGCACCCTGGGCTGGGAGCTCTGGGTTTCTCCTCTGTCTCTTCCCCAGTTTCTTGTCCTGGGGAGATGCTGAGCGACGTCGCCTTGCAGTTTTGTCAGCTTCCTTTTAGGATAAAGCCGTCGGGAGTGGGGTTACGTGGGGAAACCATAAGGAAATAGGGGAGGAAACGTGCAGGCAGATCCTTGCAGGGATGTGGAGGAGCACGAGGGTCGATCTGTGGGGCTCAGCCTCTCTCTTGCAGCCCAACACCGACTCAGAGCGCTCACAGTCCTGGCTCTGAGCTCTCGAGGAAACATTTCCAGCCATTTCCACCCCGCTGCCCTTGTGCTGAGCCCCACAGCTAAGTACAAAAACAGAATAAATCCATGCATTACGTATATACTTAATTTTTGCATGGCAACCACTGAGACCCAACTGAAGGAGACGACTGCCATTCATTCGGGCAGGTTTGCAGGGGCGAAATCCACTTCCAGCAAACCCTTCCCATTGGGAAGAGCTGCAGGGATGGCACTTGTGGGAGCTGAGGGAGCAGAAGCAAACTCCCTGCAACCGCAACCCCTGGGGCACAGAGCCTTTCATCCCAAAGCAAGGCTCCCATCTTAGATGGGGCAAATGAGTTTCGTCGCGTCCTGAAAAGCACTTGATTGCAGAGCCTGGAAAACCAGCTGGGCTGGAGAAACATCTGCGTTGCAGATTTATGGAGGAGAGTTGACCCTGGTGGGAGCATTTGGCAGCAATGCATTGCACTGAGGAAAAATACCAAGGCAGCAAAGAGCCGTGCTGAAATACCAGCTGTAGGTTTGACCTTTGGGGATGCTGAGGCTGGGCTTCGTCGTGGGATGCACACTCATATCGCATCTGCTATTCTGAGCCCTGATGTCGCCCGCTGCCTCCCACTCTCTTTTTGTTCCTCTTTTTTTGGTTCTACAATCACCAACCTGTGTTCGTTCCGGTGCTGCCTCTTCCTCTTTTGTGCTTTCTCAGAAGAAAGCAGGGTTTTTGAGGGAATCCGTGCAGGTGAGTCCTCGCCCTGAGCAGCTCCCCTTCACTTTGCTGGCCCAACGCTGACCCGGAGCCGCGCGCCCAAAGCCAACCCAGAGCCGTGCACCCGTAGTGAGGCAGAAAGGAGTGCGCAGAACGGACTTTTAATTAAAATTAACTATCAGGAACGTAGGCAGAGACCAGCTCCCCACACCAGGCATTGCTATTTGCAGCGAAAGGCAGCATCCCTTTGCAGGACACCCCGGATCGGCCCCGCCATGGATGTCAGATAGGGAACAGACAGACGTATGCATTTCCTCCCAGCTCTTTGTTGCTCTCTGGTGGTTTCTGCAGAGGGACCGACCCAGGGCTCCCCGTGGGGCACAGAGCAGCCGGTCCCCTTGGCAGGATGCTCCAAGCGAGCGCAGCACGCATCCCACCCGACATCCCTTTCATTAACGGGCATCTCAAGGACAGATCTTTAGTGGAGACCTGAACCCGACCCAGTCCAGATGGGACATCAGCTGCCCGCTCGTGGGCTGCTCCTCCGAAGGGGAATTTTGGGTGATTTCTTGCAGGCGAGCCCCCATCCCTATCTTGAACCAAGGGAGGACCTTCTCCCCGTTGAACGAAGCCCTGGTGTACACCAAGATGGGAGTGTCGTCATCCGAGCTGAAAAACGCCACCCGACCCCCTTCGTAGTCCAGGGAGACCCGGATCCTTCTGGGCAGTGCATTCAGACGTAGGTTGGCACGGGGGGACGTGAGGGAGTGATAGGCCTCCAGCGCCCAGACCCCTTCTTTGGGGCTGAAGCTCATGGGTCCCTTCCTCTTCATGGAAGCTCGGGCCACCCCAAGGGCCCAAACCCCCCCCTGTCCCACCTCCACCTCCCAGAAGTGCCTCCCCGAGGTGAAGCCCTGGCAGCCCAACACGCAGGGCTCGAAGCTGAACCTCTCGGGGTTCTCGGGGAGCTCCTGTGGCATCAGTTGACCCCGGGCTTGTTTTCGGTCCTCGGAGAGGTAGAGGTTGGGGTGAGCGGTGGTGGGGTCCATGGTGATGTTGGCTGTGGGACAAGAGGGGGAATGGGGATAAGATTTAGGCTTGGGGAGAGCTGCTGAGGTTCCTCTTCCTTCCACCCTTTTCTCCGTGCACTTTTGGACGTGAGTTGGTGCTTGGGTGGCCTTTGAGGGTCTTCTCCAACATCTGTGATTCTATGGGGTGTGTGGGGCTGCTACCAACCTCAGTGTCCCCCAGTAGAGACATGTGGGGAGAGGAGAAGAGAGGCAGGAGAACGGGGAGAGGACAAATTTTAGGGCAGCATAAGGAGGGAAGGGCAAAGACGTGGGGAAGGGACAGCTCGCATTCACGGGGGGGAAGGGGAAGCACAAACACTCTCTGGTTTTGCCTTGAATCTGTTTTTTGGCTCTGCAGGACCACCAGCATGAGGACCCTGCCCCCATTCCCTCCCTTCCCTCTGGGATTGCCTTGCTTTTTTCCCATCCACACGCTGAGAAAACCGCCCTCCCACCCCATAGCCACCCCTGCTGACGTACCTGGCTCTTGCAGTTGAAACATCAGGCTGTCTGAAAAGGAAAATAAAAGCACAACATCGGGTTTATGCTTCAGGAAAAGGGGCTGGGAGATGGGGAAGGGAAACCATGGGGGTCTGGGGGCTTCGCAATGCAAAAGCTCCGGGTTTATTGCAACTCCTCCTAAACCTGGAGGAGACCCCAACCCAACTGGGTACCTTGGCACTTCCTCAGCGTGCATCTGACCAGGACGTTCTTGTGAAGAAAGTCCTCCAATCTTCTTTCCAGAGTGGGGGAAATCTCTGCCGGGGGGCTGAACTTCATCACCTCACAGCTGCAAAGAGGGGAAGGATGGGGATGAGGGGAACGTTGTGTTTGTTGGCCGGTCGTTTGTTTTATCCCCCATAGGAGAAGCCATGGGATGAGGATGTTTGCCTGGGGACAAAATCCCTTTCTCCCCTGCCTCCAAGTCCTCCCCCCCGGCGCCATCCAAAAATCAGGGTGAAAATGGGAAGGAGCCACATTACCTATTTAGGAGCCTCCTGATGTCCTAAAGGTGGGAGGAGAGAGGAGAGATGGATCAGAGGAGGAGCACCAAGGGCTCCTCCTTCACACTGCAACGCACAGCAAAGACCACCCTGCCCACGGCGTGATCCCCCCAGCAGCAACACGGGGAGCTCCCACGGGGCTGAGCCTGGGCTCTCAGGGTTTGCGCCGTCCCCCCGTTTCCCACCATCTCTTTGGGTTCTCACCAGCAGGAATTTGCTGTCGGGCTGCTGGAATTTGCCCTCCATCTCCCAGATCAGGGTGTCGAGGTGGGACATCTCCTCCAACACCTTGGTCACCGCGTCCTCCTGCACTTTGGCGATGGCTCTGTCCAGGTCTGCCAGCTGGACCAGCAGGAAACGCTCCTTCTCCTTCAGAAATCGCTGCAACTGCTCGAATTCACACACTACCCTCTTCCCTTCCTTCTTGGTTTTCTCCTGTTGGGATGAGAAACAAAGCCAATGGGACGGAATGGGGGCAGGAGGATCCCCCTGGGGTCTCAGGACGCCGTGTCCTGGGGGATGTCCAACCAAATCCAATGGGAATTTACAACCAGTGCCAATGGGACCTGAACACCAAAAAGCCAAACATCGTCTCGCCGGGGATTCGGGGAGCAGAGGGGATTTTTCAGGAAGTTTATCTCAAAAGCAAAACCAAAGGAGGGGGTGGGAGCTGAGTCCTGTAAGGGGGATATTTACAGAGTTTGGGAGGATCTGCAGCGTTATCTCCTTAACACAGGGGATGCTGTGTGACCCCGGCTGATAAACACAAGCTTGGCACGTTCCCAGCCCGGCTGCGAGCCAAAAACGCATTAAGTGCCCCCAAAATACATCAACATAAACAGGGCAGGGAGGAGGGGAAGGCAGAAACCTCCCCTGCTCACCCACCAAATACAAGCCCGTCCTTCCACCAGTCTTTCTGCTTTCCAGGTATTTTTCCCTCTCCTCCTTTGAAGCCTGGAGGCGAGCCTGGATTTCTTCCTGTGCCAAAAGAAGACAGGAGGAGAACCTGTTTTCCCACTCTGTCGGATGGGAGAGGATTTGCTGAAGCCTGGAATCCTATGCAAGGTGCAGAGCTGGGCAGAGGGAAGCTTTGTGTGCTGCTCTGGAGCTCTGTGCAAGCTGGAAGTATTTTGCAGAGGGAATTGGGGGAGCGAAAGGGAGGGAAATGTGAAGAATGTAGAGAAAAATGCTGCGAAAGAGCAACAGAAAATCAGCACTGGCAGCTGTGCAAGGAGGCTTGGAAGGGCAAGATAAGCACACGGTGAGATTTCCCTCCCAAACACCCCAAAACAGCAGCTCTGGGGTGTGTGTCTGTATTTAAGAGCTCTCAGTGGAGTGCTTTTTTGCAAGGCTGCGGTCAAAGAGCAAAGCACCAAAGGAAGGAGAGGCTGGGAAGGCTGCAAAGAGCGGACGGCGTTGGTCCCGAACTGCAAAGGGGGAGGATGGGGGGCAGCACCAAGCAAGGGGTCGCGTGGGGGCGCCCATAGGGATGCGCTGCGCTGGCGGCTCGGGGTTTTTGGGGACCGTACCTTGTACTCCTGGGCCGCCTGGTGGGCAGGGAGCACAGTGTGGCAGCGGTGAGCCTGGGACGCGTCGCACTGCGCGCAGATGGGCTCCTGGTCCTCTTTGCAGAAGAGCTTGAGAGCCTCGCAGTGCTGCTTGCACCAAGTCGAGGAATGCAAGCTCAGCTGCCGGGCGATGCCGGCGATATTTGCCAGCTCTCTGCTGGGGCGGAAATTTTTGTGCAACGTCGTTTTCCTGCATTGTGGACAGGGGAAATTACCCTCCAGCCCTTCCCAGCAGCGGGAGATGCAAACCCGGCAGAAATTGTGGCCGCAGGGGATGGAGACGGGATCCTGGAAGTAACCCAAGCAGATGGAGCAGGAGGCTTCGCTCTGCAGGCTGTCCAAGGGGCTCTGCGTGGCCATGGGCTTCCTGCTGGGTTCCGATCCGCAGAGGGAATAAAAGGCCTTTCCTCCTCCTTATCTCCTCGCTGATAGGGGAAATCCGGCCCCGAAGGCTGAGCCTGAGCCAAGTGGGGCTGGGAGATCTCAGCCCATAAGGGGATGCTGGTAGGACCGGGAGCAGCTTGTGGATCCCCAGCATAAGACTGCCAAACTGGGCGGATCTGGGGAAAACTCGGAGGAAAACTCAGATTTTATCCCCTCCTCAAGCAGCAAAGAGGGCGGGGAAGGGAATTTCTCCTCTCTATGCAATTATTGTAAGGAATTTCAAAAGAAAACTCATCGAGGTCGCTTTGTTGGGCTGGAATATAGACGAACATTGGAATAAAAACAGAAATGCGCTGAAACATGGAAATGTATTGAGATACAACGTGCACTGCACGCTGCTGCGTTGGATGCGACTCTGCTTAACTGAACGGAATTACGTGGGTTTGGAATCAGGGAAGTAAAGCAAAAATTCAAGCGCCCAACGTGGGGCTCGAACCCACGACCCTGAGATTAAGAGTCTCATGCTCTACCGACTGAGCTAGCCGGGCTTCTGGCGACGGTGCTTTATAGACATTACTTCATGGTGATTACAGAGAGAAGTACTAATTATTCTGCTTAATTATTTTCGTAATTATCCTGCTAATTACGGGTTCTAGGAAATTGCGAACCCGCGAGGAAGACCTGCATTAGGAAAAAGAATGCATCCCCATGGGAACAGCGGGGAACTGTCCGGCAGTGCTGCAGGGAGCGGGAAAAGAGGGGAAAAACGGGAAAAAATGGGCAAAACAGGACGTTTAGAAGTGGGAAAATTAAAAAGGAAAAATAAAGGAGGAAAGCGTAAAAGCCAAAGCCGTGTTTCTGCCCGGTTTCGAACCGGGGACCTTTCGCGTGTGAGGCGAACGTGATAACCACTACACTACAGAAACCCGCTGACAGCCGTCCAACCCCATAGAGACATGAAGTAATGATTCCGGGCTCCGGTGCGGGATTCGC